CCCCCCCCTCCCCCCCTGTGTGTGTGTTGGCACAACTTGGCAGTGAGACCCAGATGACAGGCCCAGATGGGCAACAACCGGGAACTGTAGCGGCGGGTAGAGGGGGCGGGCTACAGCGAGCAGTCGGCTAGCAGGGCAAGGTCCAAAGTGACTTGGGTCGGGTTGGCCAGGGGGCAGGCAGCAACGGGGGGCAATGGTGGCGTTGCGTGGCAGAGGCTACAGCCTACAATAAGCAGGCAGCCAGTAAGGTGGCCGTGAAGCAGCTTGGTCGGGTTGGACCGGGGGTTGGCTTCCTGTACCAGCCTCCCAGAATGGCCGGCAATCTGGGCCATTCGCCCGATGGAAGGTCCAGATCATGGGCCAATCACGCAAAAAACCATATTTTTGGCGCACGATCCAGGCAGTCCATGCCCGACCGCAAGCCGATATTGAATTCTGGGGATCGGCCTGCAAATCTGGATCGGTCGTATGCGTGAATGGTGACCGGCCCAGATGGGCCTCTTATGTAGAAAAGGTAAAACAAAACAACATGGTCCACAATATTGGCTGTACAATACGAATACTAATAGTGTATATACGATATACTATATATTATATAGCATATACGTTGCAATTTTTATTTGTATTTTACTATTTTTCCTCGCCGATTTCATAGCACTCTACATTGACCTGCTGTTGACACCATTCAGCAAAAACAACATGTGTATTTCATCAGTTGATGCCAACAAAAAGACAGAAATATATTTAAAATTTAAAATATATATTTTATTATTATTCAATCTCCTCAGTCGATGCCAACAAAAGCAAAAAAAAACAAAAAAAAAAAAACAAAAAGGTCGGATGAAGTTGTCTCAACCAACAAAAAGAAAGAAATATATTTAAAAGTAAAATATATTTTTCAATCTTCATCAGTGTATTTCATTTCTTTTTCTTAGGGACGTGCGGAAAATTGAAACAAACCCAGGAAGACGCTTAAACCGGCAGTACACTCGAGCCTGGCGGGCTCGCATTGCGTGCCAAGCTTGGCCAAACCACCAGCGACGCAATTTCTTTCTTTTTCGGCTAGTGCCTCCATCCATTAAGGTTCGCTAACCCCCAGCCTCCAAAAGTTTAGGAGTGAACCGTCACACTTGTGAAGTCGCCTGGCGGGTGTGTACGGGTGTGTACGGGTGTGTACGGGTGTGTACGGGTGTGTACGCATGGTTTAAGGCCACCAAAAACAAAACAGAGGGACAGTAAAAACAAAACAGAGCAACAGTGTCTATCCACTGGTGCGGGGGGGGAAAAAAAAAAAAAACCGAAAATATGAAACGGAGATGAGAAATGAATTCTGCTACATTGATGAAAACTATAGGAATGGCAGAGACCTGGACAGCACGTGCGGTCCCGACAGTCAAAATCAGATGCACAAATAGTAAATTTCGAAAACACTGCAAAACAGAGAAAAAGGAAAGAAGGACGGAAGGCCATTGATGTTTTCCTTAACCATGCCGCTGAGCTTTTCCTATGATTTTTACCATTCATTCATTTCCACAAATTCCACAAAATTCCACAAATTCCATAAATTCCATAAATTCCACAAATTCCACAAATTCCACAAAATGGCACAAAACCCGGACAAAATTCCACAAATTTCCACAAAATTCCGCCAAAAGTTCCACAAAATTCCACAAAAAATTCTAATCTGGACGTGCAATCACATGTCCAACGCCGCAACACACCAGATGCCAGACACAACAGAAAGCAGTCTGAACTCTGTCTGGATGTCACACAGGCTGAAGCAAAATGGTGTGAGAGCCCAACAAGACCGCAGCAGACGACACATCTGTGCAACAACAATGCAGGATACGACCCACCTCCGCTAAGCGACGGCCAGCACTTGCACTGGCTCATTAATTCACGTACACGTTCCCTAAGACAGCTCAAGCACACCTTGAGCTCGGGAACCCTTTCTCCTTTCTTTGCCCTTCCCAAACAGCACGAAATACACATGTCGAACAGTGAAGCCATGCTCTGGTGTACTCACCCTTCAAACTGCTGTTTAGAAATAGGATGAAATGTGTAAGTCTCCCGAAATAGATTCGACCTTTTGCCCGCTTGTGCAGCCACACGCTATACCACACTAAGAATATCTGTGTGTGTGTGTGTGTGTGTTTCTTTCGAATTTGGCTAACCAGTGGTCATTGCAGTGGCGTATGTGTGTGTGTGTGTGTGTGTGTGTGTGTGTGTGTGTGTG